ACCTGGGGGTCCTGTGCCTCACTTCCTGCCTGTTGCCTTCTGCCCTATTGCTCAGCACTGCTGAGCAGAGCCTGGGTCTGTCCTCTGACACCTCCCTCCAGATACTCACACACTGATGAGGTCCCCTCTCAGTCATCTCCTCACGGCTGAACAGGCCCAGCTCCCTCAGCTGAACAGGCCCAGCTCCCTCAGCCTTTCCTCATAAAAGAAAGAGATAAGATAGAGTTTATGGTTCTTACCTACTATAATATTTCATGAGTCTACATGAAATGTTTTATGGGTTACTGCAGTAGTCTCAACCATTGATATATAATAACAAAGATTTCTTTTGTCTGCGTTCTAAACTTCATATTTAAATGTTGCAAATAACTGGGGGGACTTGTTTCTCAGAGTGAAGGTTTTTGGTTGGTTTAACTGCACTGTGTTGTCTTACAGTGCATTTACTGGAAAAAGGTAATTTGGCTATAGAGCTTTTTTTCCCTTCGTAACTTCATAAAAGTTAAAAAATGCAGTCTGACCATGACTGTGGAGCAAGTAGTATTGTTTATTTTTAAACCAGTGATTCATCCATTCTTGGCTGAAAGCAAGGTAACCTATTGTACTATGAGCAATGAATTAAGTTATTTTTTATATCTGAACTTTATGGCACCTCAGGGGTGGGCGGCACAAATCCATGTTAGAAACATTACTAATGGTAAGATGGTTGTACCACTGGTGGAAGATCCATAATCAGAAAAGGTGAAAAGGTGATGTTTTGATAATCATGCCTCTGTAGAGAGCGTGGGCTGCAGTCGTATGAAATGTTGTGACAGTATGAAAATTGTCTAAGTCTTACTGGCAGAGATAAAAAAGAAATGGGAAGAGGAAGCAGCTGGGAAATGCCTAGTTAAGAACCTCCTATATGTCGTATATATCTGTTTTAAAATTCTTGAAGCTGTTAAATATTATTTCATGATCTAAAAACAGTTTGCAGATGAAGAGACAAGAGTATTAAAATGAGCAATTTCTTTTTAGCCCCTGTGCTTCCTGCCCAGGCAATGGAAAGGTCTACAGAGAAACTTAATTTGAGAGGTGGTTCTTACCTCAGACTTGTGAGGATATTTTCAGACAAGATGTTTCAGCCAAAAAAAAAACCCTGAGCTAGCTTTGTTTTATGGTTGACCTGCTCTGACCTGTTATAATATTGCTGCAAGTTCTTCTTGTATTTGATCTTTTTACAGTGAAAGTCTCCCAGTTTTCTCTGGAGAAAAAAAAACCCTCTATTTTCTACTTGTCAGGGGAATGGGTTAATAAAAATACTTGACAAGTGTGAGGATAGTGACTTCAATTTTAAAAGTCTGAGTCTCTGCACTGGTTGCTATTTTTCAGGCACTTGGCTTGAATGTGATGATTTAAAGGGTCCATATTGCAAGAGACGTCAAAGATTTGAAGTTCCTCCTTCAGAGATTCATATTGTTATCTGGGAAAAGAAAGCATCCCCTGTGCCAGAAGTGAATTCACAGTTCCAAAGTAAAAATAGTGAAGATTTTCCTCTTAATAATGTACATTCAAATTCCAGAGTGTTGCATTGTGGTTTTGATAACACTGTCGGCAAAGCACCTGCAGAACACCACAAAGAGGATTCTGTGAGGACTCCAGAGAAGAAGCAGCAGCAAGTAGCTGAGGACAAAAGTATTGTTCATCATGGTTTAGAAAATCTGGCAGATGGTGATCTTGTAAAACTGGTGCTTGAAGAAGATCTAGCTGCTTCTGAAGATAAATCACTGCCTAACGGATGGATGGTGGGAAATAACCTTCTTGATGGATGGGGCACACCACAACAGCAGGAACCAGCTTTTTCACTTAGCACTCCATATAAAGGAGAGTTTGCTGGAACTAGTCTAACTATGAGCAATAAATCCATGTTATGTGAAAATTCCAGTATTTGTTTACCTCTAGGTGAGTTGAACCCAGTAAATATTACTCCTCCTGTGCCTATAAAACACGACCCTGATTCATCAGACTTCTCACCTTCTCAATTAAATGACAGTTCTAATTTAGCTAACAGAGAACATGGATTTAGTTCAGAACTAATGCTAAACAAGAAGTTGTTAGCAATGGAAAATACTATACAAAAATCACCTGACTTGAAAGGTGCAAGCAAAACGGTAGTTAATTCTCAAGTTGGCAGTTCTTCTGGTGCCAGTAATTCAGTCCAGCCCTCACACAAAGACCAAAGAGGAGGATTTGTAGGAAGCTGGGTAAAGAAATTATTAATCAAGAATACTTCTTTCATGCCTTCAAGTGCCTCAGCTCTCAAGAATGAGAGAAGTTGCAAAACTCCCTCAGTGCAAAAAATAAGTAAAGTTCGGCTGCCAGTTAAGGGCGCAAGTAACTTTGGTGGATTTCAAAGCAGAGATACAAAGAAAACAACGGAGACCCCAAAGTTACTGGCTCCTCAGAGTAATAATACTCATCCTTTATCAAATTTCAAAGGATTTTCTCAAAACACTTGTCTTCCAACAGCAAATCATACCACTGTTGTAGGTCCAACTCGGAATAAGTCAGAAAGTACATTGGGTACCTCAGGTAAAGTGACTCAGTTCCCTTCACCTGGCTATAATTCTGGTAAGGCAGAAGAGTCAGACAGTGACAAAACAAAAAAACTTCGCCTAAAATTATTAAAAAAACTTAATGCTAAAAAGAAGAAGTTGGCTTCACTGGATAAATTAGCAGTGGAACAGATGAAACGGGAAAAACCTGTGAGTGGAGACGTAAGCGCCCCATCGCAGACTGAACCTCAAAATGAGAGTGAATTATTGCAGAGCTTTTTAAGGGAGCTTCCGTGTCAGATTGATGTCACAGGGAATGGATCTGAATTTAATGCAAACACTGTGCCAGGGTGCCCTGGCCATGATAACACCGATGAAATACTGGCAGAATTACTGTCCCCTTCTTTGACTGTCGCTTCCTTGGAGGCTCCAAAGAGCGAAGACGAGTGTATGTACATGGAAATGGTGCACAGCAGCGTGGCAACCACCACGTCCCATGAGGACACCAGTGTGCCACAGGCAGCAGTGACAAGTGAGGACCACAATTACTACAGTCCTGTAAAGGACACTAATTCGGAGCTTGAGGCAATAAACAAACACTGTGTGAAAAAACTTTCTTTTGAAAGTCCTATGAGAGAAGATATTCTCGAAGACCTGTTCTCAATTTCAGCACCAAGCTCCATGGCAGGTGACATAGATTTACCTCATTTTGATGAAACTCTGTTTGAAACTTGGTAAATACCGAGTTTCTTGGGTTTAAATATTTTTTCAGTATTATGTATGTTTTGAAACAAAGCACTACTAAATTATATTTTATAACTATAATTGCACACTGGCTGTACTTGAACGATTTACATTTGAGGTATTTTTTCTTAATATTTATTGTAACAAGCAAATCAGGGTTTGATGAATTTTATTTTTCTAAGAAGCAGTTATCTTAGCTGTCAGATATGATGGTGATTTTTAATTAAAAGCTCCTATAAGTCTTAATTTTTGCTGCTTTTAACATAAAAAACTTATATACTCCAGTGAGTTGGAAAAATAATGAAGTTCTGTAGTCTTGATGATGTAATGGTGTAAGAAATACTACTTCTGTAGTAGTGATTTTTACAGGACCACTCAACTCCTGAAGTTACTTTGTCCAACATTTAAAAAAGAAATTTAAAGTACCTTCTGTAATTAAGGAATTTTGCATCCTCTGATATGAAGATCATTTGTAACATAAA